TATATATATATATTTAACAGCACTGTTATTACTGTCTCTTATACACATCTAGATGTGTATAAGAGACAGGATAATTTTCATGAAACTCTGAGGCTTCGTGGGATAAGAGCACTGAACCAGAATTCAAGAACAAATTCAAGCCCATAAGCTTCTTTTTCTATTTTAATCCATAAGGTGCAGGCAGATATACAGTCATGGTATAAGCTTACAATAGGGAGCAATACTTTCCATGACCAGGATACACAATCCATGGAAACCACCAAATCTACCAGCAGAGGACGTTTGTTTTATAAATGAAATAAATCCAGGAATATCACATTTTTCAATTGAATCCGCTTTTGTTTCTGAGAGGCATACAAAATCTGCATTGATAATGTATTGATCTAAAATTCCAAATTGAAGCTTACTACGAAGCCCGCACACATTCAAACTGATAAAGAGAATATTAGTAGTTGAACTAATCAATGCACAAACCAAGATACTTTTTCCTCTAACCATCCAATATGGAAAAGATCTTCTGGGGAGTCAATCAATGGGCTTTTTGATTTTCTTCCCGTTTGCTTCAAACTTGCAATAAATTTGACAACCAAACACTGTCCAGACCTGTTTAATCTCCTCGTCTTTTTTTTAGGCAACGTAAAATTTTATTTCTTAGTGGGGTCAGATCATCTTCGATATATAAAATTTTTCTATAGAAATTAACATAGGCTGAATAGTAGAGATTACCTTATTAGTTAAAAAAACGTCCAAACTTTGACCAGATATTTTTCCCACTTTGTCATGTTTTGGCCACTGGAGGAGCCTTGGCAAATTCCGAAACAGCAGTGTTCACTGTTAATTGTTTCTGATACATCTTCGGCATCTGCATTATTCATGTCTACATGTGATGCCATTATCGGTAGACACAGCAATATGAGGCGCCGAGTGTATATTTATTATTTAACACAATTATTTATATATAATTCATTATTTAACATATAATTGAATAGATCACCATTATTTATATATAATGCATTTACGTCTAAAAGATTACATGTAAATATTTGCGTTAACGTTTTCATTATTGACACATAATTAGTGTACTGATTTCTTTACATGTAAATAATAAAAGGGTAACCAAACATTATTTATATATAATAGGGTTACTGGTTTCATTATATATAAATAATGAAAGGGTAACACATCATTATATATAAATAATGAAAAGTAACTTACAATTATTTATATATAATAAGTTCACTGATTCCACTATATATAAATAATGAAAAAGTAACAAATCATTATATATAAAAAATGAAAAAGTAACTTACAATTATTTATATACAATAAGTTCACTGATTTCATTATATAAAAATAACGAATTGACTTCATACTCATTATATATAAATATGTGCTTTTACATTTCATTATATATAAATAATAGCTGTCGCAAAACCATTATATGTATATAATGCTTAGACTTCAAACTCATTATATGTATATAATGCACACATGTTATCGTGCCAAGGTCATTATTTCTAAATATTGGTTTCTTACCTCCAATTATATATATATAACCGTTGAGGTCGAGTGCCATTATATATAAATAATGACATTGTAGGAAGTCATGGTTTATAAATAATTCGTTATGCAAATTACGAAGTAATAAAAATTCACCAGTGCTCTAAAGTTACAATTAGGTCCTATTGTGTGTTGTTTACAGGTCGCAGACCATCACCAATCGAAAATGGCACAGCAAGGGATATCTATTTGTGCAATGCCACTCAAATAAAAGCGCGTAACTGAGCTTTGTCTACAAATTTTTTTTTTTTTTCAAAAAAGCATCACATACAATTTAATGGAACATAGAGTTGAAAACGTTCAACTTTTTTTGATACAATTTGCTGATATGTGACATGACGTCATCGTACCCATCTAAGCACATCACATTTTGTTGTCACATAAAATCTGATAGTGTACACAAAGTTCGCGTTGTTACACATTTTCGAATACAGAACTCTGGAAACGCGTTGTACACGCAAATCCAGCATAATGGAGCACTAGTGCTCCGAGAACCGGGATTTTGCACCTCTGTAAGGCAAAAGGTCTTCGGGTCATAAGTGTGTAATCAAATTGAGGTCAAATATAAAAACATGGACACTGACACCCCCCACACACACACACCCACACGCACACACTACCCCATATATGTATGTATATAAATATATATATAGAATTTACACTAGAAGGCGAGAGAGATGAAGATGAATCTGCATAGCCTAGAAACATTATGTGACTAATTGTAGCCGTGCGCAATCTATGTCTAATAGGCCTAACTGAAATATCTTTGTGATACTATTCCTTTGAAGACAAAATTCCAACATTTAAACACCTTTATGCTCTCTAAAGATCATTATTTTTTTTTTCTTATGTTTGGAAAAGGGCGTGGCCCCGAGTGGGCGTGGCCCCGAGTGGGCATGGCCCCATCGGCTCAGGGCCATGCCCACTGGCTCCCATTTTATATGCCCACTGGCTTCCATAATAATAATAATAAATAATAATTATACTAATAATAATAATAATAAAAATAACAAATGATTAATAAATTTTATCACACAATCTACTTGAACTATGGCTCATTATTGTTATTCTAGATTGATAAATCAAAATTTAATAAACAATAAATAAATAATAATAATTAATAAATAATAATAATAACAATAATAACAATAACAATAATAAATAATAAATATAAATAATAATAATAATAATAATAATAATAATAATAATAATAATAATAATAATAATAATAATAATAATAATAATAACGGTAATAATAATAAAACATAATAATACATAATAATAATAATAATAATAATAATACATAATAACAATAATAATAATTATAATTATTATTATAATTATTCATTATATTATGTAAAATATTACATATATTATTACATTTAATTTGGACACACATATAAAGATCAAATATAATAATATAGTATGCATATTATGGGCTATGAGACCATTGAGTTTATGATTATTGAGATGGTTTTTTTTCTTGTTGTTAAGCGCCTTGATGCTTTTGCGGAATGCCCTATAGAAGAACTTAATCGGATGATTAAATAAAGTGTTATAATGCTATGAGTGTGTTAATAATGTAATATAAGTACCCAGTGTACACGATAATAAAATATATTATACAGAATCAAACTTACCTTGAATGCATTCGTAATCAATTTCCAAGTACTTGTGGGTACCTTCACAGGGATTATAACCACCAAGCAAAATATTTGAGTTTGCGAGCAGAGAACACCTTTGTCGACAATTGCATTTGTCAGCAGTAACGTTCAGTGCATTATCCCAGTCACCACAAGTTGTATTATCAGTGACTTTAGATGTATGATCGCAATATACACTTCCATTTTCGTGACGACCAAATGTTGCAGAATTTACATGTATGAAATGACCTCTACTGCAATTTAGGGTTACCTCATTCATCCCACATGTTATGTCTATTGATAGGTAAATTATAAAAAAGAAAAGAATACATTTATTTTGTTTTTAATATTTTAGACTTATTATTTAATTCAATCATTAATTAATTCATTCATTCATCTATTCATTCAATAAACCATTCATGTATTAATCCATTTCGTTCATTTGTTTGTTTATAATTTACAGATTCAATCATCCATGAATTAATATATTTATTTTAATTTAATATCAATACATCAATGCAACAATCCGCCCATCAATCCATCAATCTATCATTCATCAGTTTATCCTCCTTCCATGCATACATCGACCCACTTTTTCTTTTATACATTCGTTCATTCATCTATTTATTCATCCGTTTACTTATTCATATACATATATATATATGTATATATATATATTATATATATATATATATATATATAGAACAGCACTGTATATATATATATATATATAATATGGTTGTTGTGATCGTATTGACCTAAGGCCTTTTAACTAAAAGTCACAATGGTTATTAATTAAGGTTTGGAGAGAGTAAGGAAACGAAATATGGTTTTAAAACAGTATTCAGTTTAATATGAATTTAAAATAGGGTCCCTTCAATATATATATAAAAAAAAACTCTATAAACTATTAACGATATAAATTAACAGAGTCAATTAATAATAATAATACTAATAATAATAATAATAATATTATTATTATTAAATAATAATATGTAAAATGTTAGATATATGATTACATTTAATTTATACACACATGTGTAAATTATAATCATAGGAAAACAATAAAATTGTTTTTACTACTACGATTTATCGTTTTCCCATGATTATGACGTGATTTGATTTGATTTGTGAAATAATATTTTTATCGTATACATGATCAATCGTGCTAGTGTGAAAATTCTCTTTTTTTAATTTTCTATATGAACAATAGCTTTTTATCTTTTTGTCGTTGATTGTAATCGTCAGAGTGTAAAAAGGCCTTAAGCCCACAAAACTACTGTAAATGGTTGCTTATTTTAATACTCTAACCAGGGACCAGTGCTGTTCCCTGCTCTAACATCGTATTATGGAGTTTTGGGTTTTAAAAAGATTGATTTTGGAGAACTATATACAATCTTGGAGTTTCTGCATTGCATATGCTATAAAAAGTACTATTTAAAACACTTGAAATGTACTGCACCCTAGTCAAATAGGCCTACACCAAAATGAGAGTTTCTGCATAATATTAATGATGATATTTATGCTTATACTAATGATGATAATGAAATGATAATGATGGTTTCAATTCCGATAAAAGTGATGATGATAATTATCAGCGATGATGATAATAATCAGTGATGATTATCGTGATAAAATTATGATGATAATCGTGATAATTATATTAATAACAAGTTAAACTTACGATGTATAGCTTTGCACACTGGACAATACGTAAGTAGCGAAATAAAAAGCAAGATCCACTTGCACACTATCATACCCATAATGAAGTTAGTATTTTAAACTTCAAACGTATCTTCTTCTAATAAACATACAATTTAAAGTTCATACATTTTATACACAGAATCGCTACGACGATCTAATACTTAGTTGTTAAAATGTTAGAATGGTACCACCAAGCATTAGCGAAGTACAATACCATCTTGAAATTGTTTCAGCTTCAGTCTTAAACATGCTATGAAGATAAAATCTAGTAGGCCTATTAATTTATGAGGTTGAAGCTATTTTCAATGAAGAGGTGCTACATAATTAAAATGTAATATAACACGCTTACTACATGAAATATCGTACTAGTAACACGACAAAAACGAAATAAATTGAACAACAGGACAAGAACTACATAGAAATTGATCTTCATTATTCATTGAGTGAAAAAAATTAATAACTTTTAACTCAATTTATGCTAATTATGATATTGCGTGTGAATTCACCAATAATCATCAGCGTCACAGAACCGAATATCTTAGGGCTCGATGTATGCTGTTATTATTATTAGCCTCGTGCCCTCGCCTCTCCGAAAGAAAGGTATATGGTATGCAATAGCGCATGTCTGTGTGTGTATATATATATCACTAATAAAATTCAAAAATATGACGATACTATTGAGAACATGGATGTACCCCTTAATAATAAGTTCGTGGTTTCATTTGACGTACAAAGTCTATTTAGCAATATCCCATTAGACGAATCTATAAACCTTGAAGTTGATTATATTCTCGACAACAATGACAACAACCTTAAAATTACTAAGCCCGAACTTAAGAAATTGTTTATTTTTACCACTTCCCAAACACATTTTTTGTTCAAAGGGTCCGTTTTGATGAGATTGACAGGGTGTCAATGGGTTCCCCTTTAGCCCCTGTTCTGGCAAACCTTTTCATGGGACACAATGAACAGAGATATGGCTTGAGCAGTATAAATGCCCCATCGTCTTATTTTATAGACGTTATGTTGACGATATTTTCTGTTTATTCCGCAATGAGGAGGACGTTCTTATATTTTTTGAATATCTTAATTCACGTCACCCTAACATTAAGTTTACCTCTGAGAAACAGGTTGAACAAAAAACTTCCTTTCCTGGATGTACACTCTTAATTTCCAAATCAAAACACGGGCTAGCATCCACTTTTGTCTTCCGGAAACCTACATTTACTGGACTCCTCACTAATTATTTTAGTTTCTGTTCATTCAATTACAAACTCGGACTGGTCCGGACACTATAGTTGACAGGACATTCAAAATTAATTGTAGCTGGATAAGTTTTCATGAAGACCTTAAAGCCTTAATACCCATCCTAAAGAAAAATGGATTTCCGCTACACATTATCAATAAAATAATTTTGAAATATCTTGTTTCTGTATGCTCTCCCAATAAACGTTCCAAACCATCGAAGGCCATTGAAGATACCACACCCACCACTACCCTTTATTTTAAAATTCCATATATCGGCCCCTATTCTAAGATTGCTTCGCATAAAATTTGTTTGCTTTCTAAGCAATTGTGTAATGATTTTGATTTTAAGTTAGTTTTTTCTTCATTTAAAATTACAAATTTGTTTTCTGTGAAGGATCCTATCCCTGCCGGTCTCCGCTCTCGTGTTGTATATCAATTTGTGTGTGCTGGCTGTGCTGGCTGTAATGCCAGCTATGTCGGAGAATCTAGCCGACATTTCTCAACACGCGTGCGCGAGCACTTGGCAATGGATAGGAACTCTGACATATTAAACACCTTAAGAATTCACGCAAATGCATGCAAACTTGTAGTGAGGAATGTTTCCGTATTCTTGACTCCGCCCCATCAATTCATCATCTCAAAATAAAGGAGGCATTACATATTCAATGGGAGCAGCCCTCACTCAACAAACAACTCTACCATGTTAATTTAACTTTGTCATTCTGATTTTACTTCATTCCGTTTACCTTGTATACATTGTTTCTATTCATGATCTTGTTGTTGATGTTCACAACTTGATACAGTTGAATCACGTATAAATTGACGTGTCACGAACATCACTTCGTTTAAATAAGATTGCCTATATGAAATATCTGTTCACTGATGATGACAATAGGATCTGTCGAAACATGTATGTAACGTAAGGCCTAGCAATGGCTAGGCCTAATAAAGTTTAAGCATTGCCTGACATGATCGTTCTCAAAAGTATCGTCCTAGATGTGTATAAGAGACAGATAAACATACAATTTAAAGTTCATACATTTT